CATCACTATCTAGTGTATATTATAAGCGAGTCGTACATATAAGCGAGTCGTACAGTCTCCACCACCCTACAACAACTATCCTCAATTATACCGCAACAACATTAGGAAGTAACTATAATTACATCAGAAACGGCTGAATCAGATGATTCCCCAGCCTCCTGGCAAGTGCGTGCGTTATGGCCAGGCTTGCCGCACACACCACAGCACCGAACCGTCGTACGAGCCCCCCCTGCACTACCGCCATCCGGCTGTATTTCTTCCACTACCTCCCCACCTACGGCCTTCTGGTCTAGTAGATCCTATGCATCTTGCATAGTAAGTGATCCTCCGAGCCGTACACGTGTTTTTTTAGCTCTCCGGCGCTTACTTAGTACCTCATTAGCCTTACGGAGCGAAGAGACCTCTGCTTATAAGAGGGCTATTTAATATATTATAGTTATTATATTTTTAATAAATTAATTTATAGTATTTAATATTAAAGTCGGAGAATTATTTTAATAATTAATAATATAAATTTTAATAAACGTTAAATATAAATTAATTTTTTAAGGATTTTATAATATTTAAAATACTTAAGGGAGTACCGTACTTAACTTTAAAAATAAAGGTATTAATATACGAAGCTTTATATTTAATTTAAAAAATATTTTTTTTAAATTATATAATATAAAGCTAATACTTATAAAATTACTTTATATATTTTTCTCTATTATAAAAGCGAAAAAAGCTTTACGGAAAGTATAAAGAAACTTAAATTTACTTACGTAATTAATATATATATATATATTAAACCTTTGATTTAATAGCTATATATTTATTTTAATAGCTTAAAGTAATTAATATTAAATAATTAAAGAAAATAAAAAAAATATAAAAATATATAAAATATAATAATATTATTTTATTAATAATAATATTCGAATTTAATTAAATAATAATTTTTATAATTATTAAAGATTAATAATCGGTATTTATTTTTCGTACGAAATACTATAAAATAATTAAAATATTTAATTTAATTTAAGTTTATTAAATTAATAATTTAATTATTATTAATAATTATAATACGTTAAATAAATAATAAATTATATTTTATATATTAATTAATAAAATAATATTATATAATTAAAATAATAAAGGGTAGGATAACTTAATTAAAAGTATTAACCTTTTAAATTATCGTTATTTATTTATAATTACTAAACGTAAAATTAATTTTATTTTACTAAAGCCGTTTAAAATTATAATTATTATATTTACGATAATAATATTTATTATAAATCTAGTTTCGTCGAAATTATAAATATCGTTATTCATAATATTATATTTAACTTTAATATTCCGTATAAATATAAATTATTTAATAATAACCTTCGGATCTTTATATTTAACCCTTTAATAATTATATTTACGCGTAAATCGTATATAAAGCTATGGCTAACGTTTAACGAAGTTATGTGCCTAGAGTTTATTAATAGGGGGCGCGTTACGTACGCGTAATAGTTAGTTAACTATATTTTCCACACTACGTAACTTTAGTAGAAAAGCTCGCGTAGATAGCTCAATAATATAGTAAATAATAGCCTCCTCTTTAGATTAAGTAAGCTTCTTTGATCTGGGCGTAGTATCGCGTCGTGCAAGCCGGCCGGCGCGTCGGTTAGAGAGAGTTATAGGTGGTACGTTGTAAAGCTTAGCTATAGCTCGGAGGCTTAATTTTTCGTCCTTTTAGAGAGCCTCAAGGGCTAAGAGTATCCTGGCTTCCTTTGAAGTAGGAGGCATGTTGGGTTGTGGAAAAAATTGATGTTAGGTGTAAGGAGGACGCGTCGTGGTGGAGACTGTACGACTCGCTTATATATACGACTCGCTTATAATATACGTTATCCTTTTCGTCTTGGAGATGGGGTCGAATCATGGCAAGCTGACCAGATGGTTAGCACAAGTTTCAGCTAGGTCTCTCTGACGATGGTGTGAC